CCTGACCACTAAAACACTTTCAGTTCAGTTTGGGCAATGAAATGCTTATTTGCACGTACGCTGCGATACAAAAACATTAAAGGAATCGATTAAAGACATAAACAAAGAACAGAAGCAACAACAACAAGTTAAATAACATACAAATTAAAAAAAAAGTCAGACAAGCAGTGTGAGAAACAAAAAACCCCATCAGTGTGAGTCAGTGGAAGGGGTTGAGTTCAGTAATCTGACAGCTTGTGGGAAGACGCTGTCCCTGAATGTGGAAGTTCGTGCCTTTATGCTCCTATAACACTTACCAGAGGGAAGGGGGAAAACGAGTGAGAAACCAGGATGATCCTTAACAATACTTCCAGCCTTCCTGAGAACAGCGAGTCCACAATAGAGGGGAGCAGTACTCCAGTGACGGACTGGGCTGACATGATAACGCCTTCCAGTCAGACACACGTGTGTGTGTGTGGGTATAGTGGTAGCCCCCGGGCACCTGGAGTGCTGTGTTATCTTTCCACTAGTCAGAGCTCCCCAGCTGCTGTTCCACCTTCAGGAGGAGCCTGACCTACATTTCCCTTTCTATCGGGTGTGATTTATTATCTGTAGGATATTTAAAGCTCCCTCTTAATGGTAATTACAAGGGGGCTGTTCTAAATCAGACATCAGAATGAGCAGATAGACAGGTTAGTCGTGACAGTTTCACACACGCGGCGTGGCTGGGTCTGGGGAGATTATACCTGCAGTACAGGTGTGCAACACTCCCACATTCTGAGAGCGCCCTGAAATCTTGGAGCGTGGGAAATGATTCCATGGGTGTTAAGCAGTACATGTGAGAAGGATCCTATGTTTTAGGCTGACCTTTCCAGGCAAGCTTGAGTATCTTTTTGGGGGGGTGCCTTTTAGGCTTTTTTAAAAAAAAGACAGCTTTCTCTGCAGTTCAGAGTTGAGCCTGCTTGTCTGGACTCAGTGCACCCGGGATCTGAAGGCCTGGTTCACACATCAGAGACTTCAGACCTGGGAAAAAGATGTTCAGCTGGCACATCTGTTGGTTATCAGAGAGCCTGGCGAACGTCCTCTGGGCCTATGCTGGGAGCGCTGGGTGTGAGATGGGACTGAGAGGACATGATTGCTCTTGCTATGGAAGGGAAGTCTGTCACACATGGATTGCTATGGAAGTCTGTCGCAGATCACTGATAAACACGTGGGAACATGCCAGCTCACACAGACTGTGTCCTATTGCAGATCTGAGCCCAGGATATGAGCATCAGGTATAAGATAGCAGCACCAACAGCCACCCTTACTTGCTCCAATTACGACAATAATGTCATTGAGGTGGTTGAAGGCTGATGCAGAATGACAAGCAGGGCATGAAATGGTTAGGTGTCCAACTGAGCAAGGCGCTTCTCTCAGACTGCTCCAGTAAATGTGCTGCTGTATGAGTTGGCACTCTGTAGGTTCTTATCGTCAATGAGAACTTCTTCCGTCTTCACCTACCTGGTTAAGTAAAGAATCACATACCTCAGGGTTAAGCCAGCTTCTGCTCGATAAGTCTTTCACAAGCCAGTGGCTGTCCTGGTTTCTGCAGTATTGACTGGGCTGAGAGTGCAAGAAGCAGATCTATCAGTCGATACGGCCTGACTAGTTTACAAGGCTTACAGGTTTCTGTGCTCGTCTGCTCACTTGCAGTCTCAGCTGGGCACTGAGCAGAACGTCTTCCTTCCTTAAAGACACAGGAAGCCCAGTTACCTGTGTAACTAGGAGCCCAGTTACCTGTTTGGGTGGATGATTGTCTCCTGGATCTTTTGTTATATCTCTTTGCAGTCTCACGCCCGCAGGGACATCAACACGCTTGTTACCAACTGTGCGTCCGGGAGGCTGAGAGGACGCAGACACAGATGTTGGGCTTGTGATGGTTTGCTGTACTCCACTGCGTTTGTCTGTGCACATGTGCGGTGGAGTGTGAAACTGTGCTCTAGAACTGCGTGGATGTGCATGTGGGTAAATGAGGTCATGCACAAAGCACATGGCCTTCTCTGGGAACGCATGGTGTGTGCCATGTGTGTGTGGGAGGGGAAAGGGCGTGTGTGTGAATGGAGGATTATGTGATCCTGTTTGCCCATGGTGAGAGAATCTGGGGGACGAAGTCATCCTTCGTCAGCTGTGAT